GATGATGATGATGATGATGATGATGATGATGATGATGCTAATAACGGTGATAATGATGATGATAGTAATAGCGAGGTTGATTGTGATAATTTTTCATTGCTATCAGTCAAATTTGTTTCTTTTGGAATGCTACGGATAGTATTAAAATCAGTATCATCGCTATCATTCGGATACACTGTTTTTTGAAGAATCGATAATATATTTTGAATTGCCGTTATCATTGTTGATACTGAAAAATTGAAAAAAAAAAAAGAATGTCAGGAAATTTTTCAAGAGAAAGAAAAATGAGAATTTATTCTTACAGCAGAAAAAGAAAAGAAAAAACCTTTTAACTTTTAGAGATTTTAAAAATAATAAATTTTAATGATAATATGATATTTTTATAAAGGAATATTATTTTTAAAGAAATTTTTTTCTGTTTTATTTTTTAAAATAGTGTAAATCTGAAACAAAAAAGAAAACAATAATTTACCAGGTAAATGAGTAGGTTGAATAAATGTGGGCGATAAATAACCACTATAATATGTTGATGGGATAGTTTGAAAATTTGATGAATAATAAATTGGTGAAGATGTAGGATTAAATGGTAATTTGTCATAATAATCAGTATAACGGTAATTGGTACCACTTATCGATGGTACCTTTGGTTGTTTGGTTGTTAAATGAAATGATCGAACAAGTGGTGGTTGCTGATTTGGTTCTGTATTAGCAGCTAACCATGAAAGCTTAGCTCTCTGATGGTCACTTATTCCGGTTTTCAAACGAAATCCTGGCTTCATTTTAATATTTGGCATTGAAAATGGAATATTTGATTGTTGATTTACATCATAATGATGTAAGTCATAATTCTAAAATGAAAAATAAGAAAAAAAAATTGAAATTATTGATTTGAAATTGAAACAGAAAAAAAGAAAATAGCACATCATTTGTGCTCCGGTAGATTTAATATGTCTTTTTTTTTCATTTCAACCATTTTATAAATAGTATACATATGAAGTTAATTATATTATAATAATTAGTAATATCAATTTATAGATTTTGAGCTCAATTTAATTTAATACGTTTTATTTGCATTCGCATAAGTATATTAACAGAATTCTGCGAATAAATAATAAACTGTACTTATATAATATATTGAATTAAGCTCTATCTATTTTCTTAGGAAAAAAATGATTCCCAAATTAAGATAATGATAATGTTATGTGTATATTCTCCAGATCCATTATAATATTATTCGAAATAAATGAAGATAATCAAAATTAAAACTGTTTGAAATAATCTTCGATTCAAGAACATCTGAAAATTCTCTTTTTTACTGATAAATTATTAATATTTATAAAAGTGATAGATAGAAGTTTAACGTTTGATAGATGAATTAAATATCTTAAAATTGGATCAAAATTTGTATTTAGATTTTTAAAGTTCAGTAAACAAAATGAATAAAATGACTAACGCTCTTCTGATTGCTAATATCCTATCTTACATTTAAAGTTATGTTTCTCGTCACATTATCTTCTCTTTTCTTTTTAACATCACGTTTGTTGTATTAAATATATGGATGCAAAATATAAATATACTAAAAGTTTAACTATATTTATGCAATTTTGGCAAAAATTTGTTCAATTAATTTTGTTCGAGAAATCCAATAATAAAACTTTAAAAATGCTAAACTAATTAAATATTTGAAATGCTTATTTCATGTAAAAATATCATGATGAAAAAAAGAGAGTTAAGAAAAAAGACGAAAAACAAAAAAAAAAAAAACAATAATTGTTTTACTTACCAATTCTCCGGAAATTTTTGATATACCGATGAAAAATAATATAAGTAGAAAATTACAAATAGTAGCAGGAATCATAATTCAAAATATAAAATTTATTTTTTTTCAAAAAAAAAAACCAATTAATTTATTAGTTACAAAAAAAATAGAGTAGTTTTTTTTTTGTTGTTTCCTTTTAGCAACAATATTTCGACATACTAATCATAAAAATTCATTTAAGATTAGTTTAAAGACGAAATAATTGATGATTGAATAAAAATTTTGGGCATGAAATAAATTAGTGAGAGGAATTGTTGAACATTTGAACAGAGATTGAAATATTCATTCCTTTTTGACGTCACATAAGTGGACGGTGAGAAATTTCACAAAACAGGATTTTTTAATCTTTCAACATGAATCATATAAATATCATTCTTCCTTTGTAAGTAACCAACAGCCAAAACAAATAACTCTTAATCCTGTACTGCAGACAATTTCAACATTACACACGCGCACACACACAACTACACACGCACACGTATACCCATAAACATACGCAACATGCACGACGCGCGTACACACATACACACACGCAGACACGGACACATTTATTTTGTAAAATTTCTCACTGTTCACTTATGTGACGTCAAAAAGAAATTAACATTCCAATCTATGTTCAAATTGTTTAAAATTGCTTTCATCAATTAATTATTTCATGCCCAAAATTCTACACCTAACAATTTTCATATTTCAGTTAATTTAAAGCTTAAAGGATGAAAATAGTGTATTACGAAGGAAGACTTGTTTTACAATTCCAGTTTTCCGATTTTTTTCTTTTCATTTTGATTCCTTTTAAAACTTTTCAAATCATTCCATAAAAAAAAATACCATTGACAATTTCGCGTAAATCGTTGAAATTTTAGAAATAATTAAAAATTAGATAAAGAAACATTGTATGTTTCGTTTTTTTTTTCCTTTTCTTTTTTAAGTGAAATAATGAAAGAAATCTGACTAATAATTAAAGCGTTAATTGCTAAATCAAATATAGTTTTAAGATAATGAATAAAAGATTGAATGATTAAATGATAAATTGATGCCTTGTACGTTTATTTATTACTAACTGTGAACTATTTATGTTTCACACATAACATACGTTATATTATAACGCATTAGGAGAAATGCAAAATAGGCTGTATTTTTCCAAAACATACAAATCTGTATGAAACTTTGATTACAGATCTTCGTTGATTGTATAAAAATTTGGGAATAAAAAAAAAAGGATTATATTAAAATTTGAAAAAGACTTCATTTTCTGTTTCAAACTTCAAAAAATTCGAATTTAAAAATTGGTCTTAATTTCTTTGCATTTTAATTAGAAACTTTTTTCTGCACTTTCTTTTTATGCTACGATAAGATACATGATCATATTGATTAAACTTAACGAATTTTTTGCAAACCGAAATATAATATTATGCAGTTTTGCTTAGATATCAACAAGATTATTCACATAACTACTGATGGTACCATATGAAATATCGTTGGAAACAATTCCAAAATTTCAGTATAAACAATTTTTTGCAAATCTTCTGGTAGAACAAAATTCACATTGAAATGGGTTGTAGCTGTAGGAGGACCACCACCAGCTGTTGAACTACCTGAACACGCTTCCATCATGAATCCTTTCACACATTTGAAAATTAGCTCGGCTCGCTTCATACACCAACTTGGGGTCATTTGCTACAATATCGTTTCATTAAAACAAGAGCACTAAAATTTAACAGAAATTAAATTTGAGGAAGTAAACATATCGATGGAACAAAAATTCATGCAGCATAGATATAAATGTTTTATGATAAATTGATAATGAAAGAATTTTAAAAAAATTTGTGCTTTCAATCTGTAAATATCATCTATAATCACTTCATTCTAGAAAAACCAAATAATTATAATATATTATAAGACATTCTTTTTTTGATTTTAAAAATATTGAAATTTCTTGAAAAATTCCTGAATCCATAGGAATAAATTTCACGTTATACTTGAAAGTTTTACCTCTTTTGCTTTCTCGACGAGCATTAGGGGTATAGTGAATGTCGTTACACCACATTTAGCTGACAACCGGATAGCATTTCGTAAACCATTGATGCATGGATGTCTTAAGATGAAGAATTTGGTATGTTTTGAACAACACGAAAAGTCTCAGCATAACAAATCATTGAAATACTGATAGGTATCAGAATACTACCAATAAACTTAATGGTACTGATACCAAATGTCTGACGTTTTCAACATAAACAATAAAATGTAAGCATCAAGAAACTAATTGTTCGAAAAAAATAAACCTTCATCACATTAAGAGCAAAGTAAACAAAAAAAAAAAACGAGAAAGAATTGATGAAAACATATTCTAAAAGCCCAAATCATTCATCGTTATCAAAACCTTGTCAACTAAATGAATACGATTTATGTTTTTTGCAGAAAGAAAAATTTCACAAACAAAAAAACCGTTTCCTTACCTACTAGAAATTTCATCGTCTTCTAACGATTTATCCACAACCAAATGATAGATAACCTGAACAATTCATGACTTCTTCAAATGTCACAAATTTACCTCCTCATTATTTGTAAAAATGACAACTAATTTCTTAAATCAGCTTTTTCTTTTGCATCCACTTCAATATCTTGCGTACTTGTAATATAAGTGAAAATTAGAATAAATCAATCTTCTCTATCCTCTGGTAAACTGTTTACTATTTCCATACCAAACGAATACTTTTTTGTTTTAGCCAAGAAAAAAATCATTAAAAAATGATTTATCCCCCTGAAATGATTTATGATGCAAACCTGAATAGAAGAAAGGTTGGAATGCCGAGTGACATATAAACTACCAACTGGAAGTAGTGACTCATCATTATCACCATTATCATCATCTGCCTCATGATGAATATCTTCTCTTGCTTTCGAAATCTAGTGAGAAAAAATAAAAGCACTACAGCTTTGAAAATTGGATTAATGAGAAACGGAATCAATGAGAAATCGTTAATTGTTCATTTATAGTTGCAGTGTAATTTTCGAACAGGCATTGTTCGATATGTGCATTCCCACTTTACCTATTCGAATTTTGGTTTTTATTAATATGCATTGCGATATTTACTTCCTAATATGTTTCATACTTTATTATTTCATCGTACAGCGGTCAACGTGCTTTTTTAGATGGCTTAACTTCAAAAATATCCACTGATGTAGTAATAACTCTTTCAGCAATCAAAAATATAGACTATTTCAATTGATCACTTAGAAATATGTACAAGGAATTCATATTTTGCTAATTATTATCTTATGAAGTACCAAGTTTTATATAAGAAATCAGCATCTTTTGGATATCTTGAATCAAAATAAATTAGTTTAATTTTTTTCCGATCCGTAGCAACCAAGAGATGTTGATCTGCCAAATAAGATAACTTGGTACGTATAAAATAATTTGTTGGAAAAAAAACAAAGCATAGCAATTCGTGATATAAAATATGTAGTTCCACACCAAATAATAATAGATTATCTTTGAAACATTATCACCCATAAAGTAAAACATATTTCTGATTAATAATAAACATTAAAAATATGTTTTATGGGTTACTTACCAATGGTATTACTTGTTTTAATTGATCTTCTAGTGATTCAAAATGAAGTTCGGTAGAATGTTCGCACAGTCTATAGAAATCTAAAATTTTTTATAACTGTCAGGCCATCAACTAATTTTATATATTTTTTCTAATAAAAGAAAAAAAATAGACTACCCACAATAACAAACCACATTGATATACCATTACCTTTATAATGAACTGGAAAACATCTAAGATCAAATAAAATTCTTAAAATACAAAAATATTACCTGTTCGTTTATTGATGTGAAATATGGAATCCCTTTCTACCAGAAGTACTAGACCACTTAAATTTCTACCATATAAAGTTAGATTCATCTGTAAGCGCCGTGTAGCAAAAGCATCATCCTCAAAGAATATAGGAGGTCGACACAAATCTGTCAAACTTGGAGAAGTCAATAGTCGAGCATTGTGCATCGTTTTTAACTGGGCACCTAAATCATCCGAAATTAGATTGTAGCTATTAAATTTGAATATATTAGTAGATCTCTTATGAACGATTTTTTGAAACAATAAGTTACCCAAGACAATAGGATACTTCATGAGTCATTGTGGAAATGTTTTAATTAAAAGCACAAAACTCATTCTATTCTATTAATGGTAAAATTTTTCAAAGAAAAAATTTACCATTAATGGAATAAAACAAATGTAATACGTTCAAATGCATTAATATAAAAATAGATTAATTAACAATTCCTAGTATAGTAATAAAGCAAATCATAGATCATAAGTAAGAAATTCTAAAAGATAAAAAAAGAATTACCTAGATATATTGTGAAACTTTCATCCAATGAGAAATTAGTTTGCGTTTTGATTGCATCAAAATTCGAAATTGTTGGCAAAGATCTTAAATAGTTTAAATTTAACATAAGAGTCAAATAAAGGAATACTTGCCTGCACCATTACAAGTCTTGATTGATACATCCAGTTTTTTCTCTCCAACTGATTCAGTTATTCGGACAACACATCGAGAAAATTAAAAATATCCGAAAGTGCTGAATTAGTATGCAATACATAAATCAAAATTAGTTCAAGGAAAATATGAATTTCATTTACTTCATCATTTTATCATTATCATATTCTATACTTTGCTTGGACTTGACAATGCTTCATCTGTTTTTAAATAGTTGATACTTTGATCAAGTATAACATTGGCCATTCTGAGTATGAAAAAATTAAGCAATGTTTATCTCTGTATCTTGAAACGCAGAATTTACCTTAGCAATAATATAAGCAAGACCTGCAGGAAAATTAACTTTATATTGATGAAAAGGAAAAATATATTAAAAGAAATACCTTTTAATTGAAGTCCTATCATTAGATATGGCAACTTCTGCTTCAGCTGGGAATTTATCATGCTCGTATAAAGTTTTTATCATATTTCGATAGAATTTACGTTGCCTTAATGTTAAGGTACGAATTTGCTGGGCATAATTATTGCTGATTTCCTGTAATTATACCAAATAAATTCCAATTATCTAAGAGACAGGTATATGGGGAACCGGTATGATCTTAGCCATTTTTTGCAACTGAGTTCCTAAAAACTGCCTTGGAATTTTAAGTTGATATGTGCCCCCGAAAGTGTCCCCGAAAAAGATTCGACCGTTTGATCACTTCATGTATATCACAAATAACAACGTTTAGAAAGCTCGACTAATGGATGAATGGCACCGAAAAAATATTAGCTGCTATACGAAATTCTAACTCGTAATTGTTCATTCAAGCGGCTCAAATGCTGTCCACTTTCGGGTATTACTCGATCATCCTTTGTCATGCTGGCATTCACTGCTTGTTCGCATTTACGATACATCCGATCAAGTTCGAAATCTCGAGCACGTATCAAGGATGACATCTTAAAAATGTAAATCAAGAAACAGAACTGAAATCCACAAATTCAATGTATGAAATAAACGATTCAATGGAGTTCCAATAACAAACGAGTATACTAATAAATGCAAAAAAAAAATTGATATTTAAGTTTCTCATATTATTTCCCAATTTGATAAATTAAAATATGCATACCTCATCTTCCATTTTTCTTTCCCATGCGATAATTATCTTCAATCGTTCGGGTGACAAATTTCGCATGATAAATTGAAATTGATCAGCGAATTGAAGAGTTTCACATGCCGTAACATTTGTTGTCTAAAACAACATATTAATATAAAATAATCAGTATTCACGAATTAAAGTAGAAAATCATCTGGTGCAGCAAAAAAAGAACATTTAATTTGTTAAAAGTTTGAAAAACGAAAATTAATTCTATTCGAAACCGCCAAAGATTCTCGCAATAATCCGCAGTAATATTATAACACCAAAAGAAGGAATTAGGCATTAAATTTTGAGGAACAATTACCACCTCAGGAAATTCCTGAACATATGGTGGATCAATTGCATTTGTTTCATTTAGAAATGTGTTGATAATGCCATCACCTATTTCGGTTTCATACTTCCATGTCTCCTCATCAATAAAACGGTGGAATGCATTCGCAATATCTATAATTCCATAAATAATGAACGGTGTTTTAAAAAATAAGAATCGTTTCAAATTACCACGAAGTATTACTTTCTAACACTTTCATGAGAACTCTAGGAAAAAAGAAAACAAAATCCATACTATATGATTACGTTCAATTCATTTAAAATTAATTTAACTTAGTTGAATATTCCGTTAAACAAGCGTAATCGATACTGCTACAATTATAATACATATAATAATGAATAAAGATATGATACGGCGAACTCTTTGCAGATAATCATAACTTTTCCCAACTAACTCTCTTTATCAGCTAGAAAGAAATACCGTAATACATTTTTACTTTGTGATAAGCTCTTGTATTAAGAACTGTATTAAGTATACTCTTGTATTAAGAGTATTAAGAAGCATATTCATAAACATTTCAACGTGGTAATCCTAATTCCATTGAAAAAAAAAAATTAATATGAAATTGGAATTTCTTCTTTCTACTCTAATAAGCATATATACGGATTACTTCGATATTTTCATTTGTTAAACAAAAATAGTAACTATGCTTGATTTAAATAAAAAAAACTATAACCTTCATGAAACATTGGCAGAACTTTATTTTTTACATATATATGAGATATTATTTCATCGATTGGATTTTCATCGGTAAGTGGAATTTGTGCATCATACGAAACTTTCTGCTCAAACGTTTTATATTTCGCCGTATACTCGAATCTCTTCGTTTTCATCAGGAATCATTACGTCAATAATTGCCCCAAATAACGATAAAAATCTAATCAACAAATATAATCAAAAAAATTCGATCTAATTTATATGTTAATGGCGTAACACTTTTTACTGCATCAATGCTGATGACAGAAATACTTTTCGCAATGTCATTCTCATTCTTATATAGTGTTTTCCGACTCAAAATAACGAACACATAGATATAAATCAACAGAACACATCGTTTAAAATTTTATTCAGGAAAAAAAAGGCCAGGAACAACAATAAGAAATAGGAAAATGAAATGAAATTTACAACCTTTAACAAAACGAGAAACTAAATTTTTTCGAAATAATCCCATCTGTTCAAGTTTTTAAATGTTTCCAACTTTCTATAATAACATTCGAGGTGCATATCAAAATGTATAATTTCATTATTCCTTATGAAATTCTAATTTATTCGTTACATCGTAAAAAGGATGATATCTAAGATAGCTTATTACACTATACATACGGAAGGTAGAGAAAAATTTAATAAAAAATTAAATGAAGAAAAATTAAAAAGAAAAATGAAAGGTAAGGAAAAATTAAAGAAAAATTTAATCTGGCTTATAAACTAAAATTGAGCAATATTAATCGGTTAATAATCAATAAATCCTCATATTTCTTTTCAGGTTCCTTAATCAACATCATATTTTTGCTTGTCTGTTAGAAAAAAGTAATAAACCAAGCAGAAAAAAAGAGGACAAAACAAACAAATAAATCAGAATTGTTATTTTGGTTTAATAAATTAATCACTGAAAATGATAAGAACACAATCAAATGAAGCAAGCATTATATTGACTGAATAATAAAAATGAATAAATAAGGCCATTAAAGCATATTCGTATGAATTAAATTAATCCTCTTTTTTTTCAGATTCCATAGCTAATATTATATTTTTGTTTACCTGTTAAGAAAAAAGCAACAAATTTTTTTTGCAAAATGTATCATATTTCATGGAATGAAAAATACAATACTTTAAATAGTTGCTACTGCACAAGCATAATAATACAAAGTGATTAAAGAATGATAAGAAGCTAATGAGAATGATATACTAGAATGATAGAGAATGATATTCTACTAATGAGAATGATATATGAATGATATGAAGCAGAGTTATCATTTCACATAATTCGATTTAAAAAAAATTGTTCTCGAGTGATTTGAAATACTCAAAAGAAACAAATTACTGTTGGAAATGATCAGAAAAATAAAAAAATAGATAGAGTGAAACAAATTAATGTTAAGAATGACTAGAAAATAAAACTGAAGATTTTTAACACATAACACAATCAAAATTGAACATCGAGCGCTCCTTCATACGCCGCCACTTCTACTGTTTCTTCCTTTTTAAAGTACATTTCTCCATGAATCGTCTGAAACTTAAAATTTTGAGGCGACGAAAAAAACAACAGTGTCTGTGATGAATTTGTAGTAGAACAGATAATTGCATCCAATCACCATACACGTCAGACTGTTAAATAACATACAATATTTTATTATGATATTCAATAGCAACACAAAGAAAGCTCCAAAATTTATTTCAAAATTTACAAATTTCTATGTTATTTTTCTTTCAAAAATTATAAAAATTTACGTCAGAATTCCAGGTAGCTCATCAGCTAAATAGATGAATTTATGATGAAAGTTGCGGCTTGCATCGAATTCTTTGAGTGTTACATCACGCTTGGCAGCCAGCGCACTATCACGAAGTTTACGAGCCAACCGCAGCGGAATAATGTGGTCATCTTCGGCATGCAATATTAACACAGGACAATCCACCCTATAATAAATCCCTTAATTTAAGCACGACAGAACCATTACATGGCATGGACTAATAAAACATATAATATAATATTCTCTTTAATACTTGACTTCAAATTCCATATTTTTGACAAATTCAATCCTATATTTATTTTTTAGTTCTTCAAAATTTTTTCTGAATTTAATTTGAAAAAAATTATGTAATAAACTCTTTCTGCATATGAAATACTTCATTTCTCTTCGAAAAAAGAAATCTTAAATATAGATTCATAATAGATTCATAATTTTATTCAATGAAATATACTGAAAATGATTATATTTTATTAAAGCATACTTTGTGATGCGATAATCAGTGTTCATATCCAAACCGGATCTTTCTAATGATTCTAATACCATTTTTTTAAACCATGGTAACCAACGAAATGGTATTGCATACGGATGATGAGTAACAACATCATTAAGATTGTTAAATGGTGATTCTAAAATCAAACCAGTTGGTGGTGAACCTTCTTCACTGAATTCCATCGTAGCTGCAGTAGCAATTCTAAAATAAATTAAACATAAAGGAATATTACATCAAATCATCGCAAGTAATTACTTCCTTTAAGAGTAATTACTTCCTTTAAGATATATGAATTGGATGATTTAAATCATAAACACATCAACTGCTATGGTATATATCATTGTTATGGTATAAAATGACCATACGGTGATTAAAAGAAATTAACTTATGCAAACAAATAATAAAATGCTCCCACTCTTATTTTTTAAAGCAAAAATTCCAAATCAAAAAAGAGTGTAACTCAGACCAGGAAAGCTGCAATCTATTTATTTTTCAACAAAAAAGTTTTCGCCAAAAAACAGGAAAATAAAAAAAATTGAACCAAATAAATGATGTCTTAAATCAGATGAAAAAAAATATTTAAATAATTACGGACGAATTAATTGATTAAAACGTGGAAATCGGATTTCAATATTTCAACCGAAGTAATCAATTAGCATAATGAGTGGAGTTTCATGAATTTGACCTTCAGAACTTGCCGAGTAATCTATTAAACTAATGCGTAAAACATACGCTGTTCCTATTGAATGTCCCCATAAATATATGTCAGACTTGGAATGACTTCTTGCATAGCGAAATATCTCCTTCGCATCCTCGATTAAACCATTTTCGTTTGGCGACCCATTCGAATCGCCGTATCCTGAAGAAAATTACTCACTTGAGACATCTTTAAAATTCTTATCGTTTGAAGAAAAAAAGTTTCGTAAATATCCTGATTGTAAAAACTGTAATACAGAATTTAAACAAAAAAAAATTCAAAACCTTAATCCTCGTACAAATATTTAATGAAAAAGAAAGAAAGACATACCGCGATAATCCAAAGCTAACACATGAAAACCTATATCAGCCAATACATTATATAATCCACAGCGATTTGATTGTGACCTACAAAATAACTCTAATATAAAAAGCCAAACAATGAAAAAAGCATCAAACCATCAAAATTGCAAATCCAACTGAAAAAGAAGACGAACCGGTCAAAGGAATTGCCGTGCAAATAAACAATCACTGGATTATCTGATGCTTCCATCAGCAGTTCCACTTCTCTATCATCTAACACTGAACCGCGATAGTTTTTAACTATCTCAGAAGGTAATATGTGCCTCAAATATTTATAAATTGTCTTATTCAATCGAATCATAGAAACAAAATTTATATAGTGTGCTCATGTAGAACTTCTTACTCAATTAAAATTCAGTAATCACCGCTTACTATTTTTTCCCTGAAGATATTAGGATAAAAAAGTTTAAAAAAAAGATCAGATTAAAAGGAAATATTATACACTCACAGAATTTAGACAGATGCTCAAATCTCTGTTATTCAGATCAAAAATGAACAAAATTATACATATTTAAACCAGAATTTGAAACAAAAAAAGATTACATATCTATTAACTTCTTATTCCCGAACATTTATTTAAATTAAAAAATATTAGGAAAAAAAATAATTTCTAACCAACAACCCAGTCGCAAGCCATTTTGTCCCTGTAAATAAAAATTTCTTCCCAATGAACTAACACCATAATACGTTAAATTTGTAAAATCTTGGAATGGCACTTTCACTGAAATCAATGGTTAATTAATTTAAATGAAAAGCCAATACATAACACAATACAAATTTATGAAGAGAAGTCGAAAATAAGGTATTTTACATGAAACCAAATATATCATATAATGAAATATCTCAATAACATAAACCTATATAATTTCGCGTTAGATATTGCATGCAATTAATTAGATTTAAAAATATTAAATGAAATCAAAAACTTTAACTTACCAAAATTAAGGAAAAACACATGTTGCAAATACCAAGGAAAAAAGTGGATAAAAACAGGAACCAGAAAATACAATGAAAGAGGCAAAAAACCAACTAAGTACCATCGAGCCATCACTCTAAATAATAGTAATCATCGATAATCATCAGCATTTATATCCTTTTCCATACGGATTATGCTCTTTAATAGCGTAAAATTTGTTGCCCAGATAAATGGAAAAAAAGACTCCCGATATTCTGAAACATATACTAGGTCGTTATCCAAAAGACTGCTAATTGAGAACGTGAAATAAAAATTCAACAAACAGGCAAAATAGAAAAAAAAAAAAACATGCGATAAAATAGCTTTTGGTTTCAATTGCTAAGCTGATAACTGACAAGTAGACTTCTACCATTAGAAAACTTTTATAGCACTATATCTCGCCAGTTATATGATTTTTGAATTTTTTCAAACGCTTGAAATCAACTCCGCTCCAAAAATAATCATTTAGTAAAATTCAACAACGTATGCAAATATTAAAAAATGTAGCTAACAATACTGAAATTAAATACTGACTGCCACACAATCAATGTAAATATAATGGTATTCTGATGCGAACTAATACTATGGAATAACCAACGACTGACAATTGCAGTACCGGAGATAAGAATTATGAAAAACATTTTCATTCGCATACACTGTCAGCAAAAACAACTAATATTTATTTAATCAATAAAATGATTCGTGGAATAACCGCATAAAAGAATTTAACGAAAAAAAAAAAAGGAAAACAAAACAAACACTATAAGACAAAAAATACATCGAGCCAACTATCATTTTAGGAGGAATTTCTCATTCGTTCAAAACCTCATGAATATTATTCAGGCTACAAGATGATATATA